ATCGAATAATATGATCCACTTATTTTGCTCTGATGATATATAACATTTAATGTATCTGTTACACCTATTCTTTCCTGTGTGGTTACAATGTACTATTCATCTTGCACAGGATACTTAGAAGACCGTTATGCTATGCACTGTAAGCAGATGTATTAAATCTGTATCAGTAAGTCACCTCTTTGTTTCTATATTTAAAAAAACTATTTGGTATCTTGCTTTTTATTTAGTGAGATATTGTAATAAAACTTAGAGATAACTGGAGTGATTGTATAATGAAAATTAAATCAATGTAGTACCACTTACAGTAAAAATCTATGACTTTCTACCATGAAAACAGAGTGTACTCTAAAGTGTTATGAAGTGACGAAAAACTTAACAAACCCGATCGAAATACAAAGAATGGTGTGATATACTTTTAACAGTCACGTGGTAGGCTTTATTTTAGATTCACTCACAGTTTGAGCAGCACCATGAAATTTGGAGCTGTATCGAGGTCAACACGTAAAGCCAATAGGATAGATTTTGTGAACGAGTAAAGGCTTTCACTAAATAATGAAAAGTGAACCCAACCATTTGGGAATTTAAGTAAATTACGGTGAACTTCACATGATACGAAACTGATTTGTGTGGATTTTGTTCCCCACACCTTTTCGAACTGTTTAATTTGGAGCGGTCACAAATTGCAGAAGAGGATATAGGAAATCTGCTAGACGAAACCATACACATACCCCCTGTAGAGCAACATTCTCGCATGCATGGATTTCACAGTTTATTGAGCAGAGCTTTAAGTTAATTTCGTTATTCCGAAGAAGTTGAGACGCGAGAAATAGACTTGAGGTTTTCCGGTAGAATGAATTTAGACAAATAACACAATTTGTATGAGGAAGCATATTCGACCGCAGAATTATTTGTCTTGCAAGTATATCACCCACTTTCAATGGACGTATACGACGATTTGATATTTTACCAGAATATTTAATTTTACACATGCATTATCATCATCATGTTTTTACTTTCAGAGGCTCCGGTTCCCCAGCTAGAAATGGAGGCTTCCATTCTGGGTGTCACCCCCGATTTAGATTCGAATTTGAATTCCTTCTAAATGTTTCCCTTAAGGGAAATTACATTAGCAGTTAAGGTAAAAAAACTTTTAACTTACGGAGCGGTGTGGCTTTTTATTGTATTAAATTGGTTTGGGAAATATGTTATTCATTAAAATTATCAGTTTATCGATAATAATTAAAAATACCAATTTTTTAACAAGAAAAGGTAAAATTGATTTAAGAACAAAACATGAAATAGCGAACAGGCTCGTTTACGATAACTTTCTCATCTGACTAATGCAGTTATATGTATAAATAGGTAAAAGGCATATCACATTTGCATAACGTTTGACGTGTGTGTGTGTGTGGATTGGATTGGTAGATATAATTAGTTGTTTATGTGTGGTTTACAAACAAAAATGGAGTGCTGGGTGGATGGGAAAGGGACATGATAATATTGAGGGTGTAAATAGGCAGTTTATCTCTATTTGTTTCTACCTTTTCTATGATTACCTACTCATTTGATTGCTCATGTTCGGCAAGCTACATAGGTAGAAACATCAGGCAGTTCTCCCAGAGAATCAAGGAACATGAACCAGCCTGGTTGACTACTGGAGATAGAGAAACCATGACAAGTGCCATTGTCGAACATCTCGCAAATACGGGACATACTGTGAATGAAGACGCTTTCAAGGTGATCTACCGGGTTCCCCTTATCCATCCAAGGCTGTTCGCCAACAACATTTAGCAACAGCTGAGGCAGTAGCCATCCGTCTGTTGAACCCATCTCTTTGTTTCCAAAAACCATTCGTTAAAGCACTTCAACTGCCATGGCCACAGAGTGAATTCAGTTGCACGACTGGAGCTGACTCTTTCCATGACCCTTTGACAATCGTGATTGATCCCAAACGGGTGATGGTTAACCTTGACTCGGCCCTAATCCCTTTTGTGAAATGTCCCTTTCCCATCCACCCAGTACTCCATTTTTGTTTGTAAACCACACATAAACAACTAATTATATCTACCAATCCAATCCACACACACACACACATACACACACACACACGTCAAATGTTATGCAAATGTGATATGCCTTTTACCTATTTATATATATAACTGCATTAGCCAGATGAGGAAGTTATCGTAAACGAGCTTGTTCGCTATTTCACGTTTTGTTCTCAAATGTTACAATAGGAATCTTCAATGAAAAAATATTTAGTTGTTTGCAACCATACAGCTTTTTCAAATTTTCATCTTTCATGATCAATCATTTTATTTTTCCTTGATTAGAACTGACCCTCCCTCTAAATTTCACCTTCACGCACATTTCTCTTGCAGTTGACCGTACATTCAGAAGCAATGGACCCGAATTTTTGCTCCTATTAGCGCTCATCAGTCTTACATATCCACCATCCCGTCCGGGATTTGAACATTAGAGTCATCACAAAGCAATGGTATGTGTTATCACTGTGTCAATCAACCAGCTCATGCCAGGGCTGAACCAAATTGTCAATTCCTGTTTGTACTTTTGTATGACGAGCAGACTAAGGATACGTTCACACATGTATCTCTTCATTCAGTGATTCAAGTGATGAGAACATTATTTGATTTTTAAATTACTGACAAATTTGAAACAGACCATCTGGAATGGGTACTTACCTACCTCTAATGCGTTGGTCAAAGCAACATCGGTATCGCGGAAAAGGTCACAGAGGCCCTCATGTGCCGTCATCAATTTTCTCAATCGTTCTGCATCTTCCGTCAAACATTCATGCAGTTCAGTGTTCTCTCTTTCTAACAACTGTAGTGTAGACCTTGTGATAGATGTGAAATGCATCAAGATTGCAGTGTTACTCTAGTGGATCATGAGCAGATATATGACACTCGTATAATGTGAAATGAAATTTGTGAAAAGGAGTTATAGTCGGTGTGAACTTCAAAATATTGTCTACCCAGTGGTGATTAAAAAATCCTTGGATTATTTATCGATACCAAGGGGGAAATCAGATTCTAAATGACTGTTTCTATGTATACACTGTCACTGATGGTCATAGGATGTTTTATTTGCCATTGGAGTGCCTGTGCTTTCAGATCGTATCTGCGCTCTCGGTTTCGGTCACAAGTAATAAAAAGCCGTCCCTGCTCACGAACTAATGGCTAATNAATTTCATTCAGTATAAAGCAAATTTCTAGCGCTCTTTTCAGTTGTGACAATTTTTAGCCTCAAGGAAATGCATATAACCAGCAATGCAATCCAGTCCAATGGACAGAAACCCTTCGAATGCAAAACCCCGGTGTGGCTGTTGGTTTTGAATACATGTGAAAACCACCTATATCCCCTCTACCGCCCCAAAACTCCACTGATTTTTTGATGATTGCCCATTTTGGGCAATTCACTTATTTTTCTCATTAGTGTAAGAACTGGAAGGTGATGCTCTCAATCATAAATATTTATCCCTTCACACAGTACCCGCCGTAAACAACAGTAGAATACTGAGTACAACATAAGATACAGGTGTATGAGCTAAGCGNAAGATACAGGTGTATGAGCTAAGCGTTGTGCCTCTTTTATGATCGATGTAAATTTTGTACGTTAATTTTGGAAAAGGATGTGAAGATATCTGTCATTCACTTCGAATAATGGTGGCCCCTGGCAAGCACAATACTACATAAGTTTTGAAAATTTGCCGTCTAGGAAGTAAGTGAGCCTGTTATCATATAAGTATTCGTAAAAGAAGTATAGTTTCATTTGAACTTTGATGGTGAAAGTTAGGCATGTAGGCACCTGATCCTCAATATTAACTGGAGTGATATTGGCATTAAATGTTGGTGCATTTGTTGATACCAGGCATCCAAGAATAAATCTCCAATTCCATCTGCATTGTGAGTTGTGATAGTAACAACAAAACCTATGATGACAGTAACAACAAAAACAACAAACATAGCGGCTGCTCTAAAGTCATCGAGAAGCCCATTTAGTCAATGTAATCGAATCCTTGGAACTGGATAATGTGCTGAACATCGCGGGAATTAATCTCATTTTCCCCCGCGGGAGACAGTTTCTCTGCAGTTATTTAATCGTCAATTCAGACGAAAGGTTTGGGATTACCCGAGCACAAGATAAATGAATCTTTATTCATTCTTCTTAGCTGTCGATCTACAACAGTTGTAAAATGCTACTAGTTCAGAATGGAATGTTTGAATAATTTGTTTAATTTCAAGTAGTTTCATTGCCAACTCGTTAAAACTAAATTTATACGGAACAGCATGACAAAAGCTGATGAATGTTTTGAAGCGGTTTGCTTTAAGTTGCAATGGATGGACTAGAGGTGGATGATGAAGCGGAACGGTCCTTCACTCACTTGTGGTGGATACTACGAATTCAGTTGTCAACGGTGAGCTTGCACTCAAAGTGACATGGTCTGATTTGAGTTCGAGGTTGGAGGCCGGAAGTGGCTCATCACTTGCGACTACCAGATTTCGCGCTGCAAATATTCGTGTAACTGGGCGATCGAATAGAATTCGGTTGAACCCTGTTGGTATTTACTTCAGTTATTCAACTATCAAATAGCGTGTTCTTTTATGTACATACATGCAGCCGTCTATTCTCAATGAAATTCATTCACAGGGATAAATTTGGTGTACAGAGCATGGTAGAAATATGAAAGAAATATGAAGTCTGCTTCTTAAAATTTCAAGTAGACGCCAAACGCAAGTTCCTTCTTAATAACATAAAACTGATTTGAATGAAAGGAGTATTGCAATCAGCCTTTGAACTTCATCTTCATGTCCATCTGACGACTTCACTTTCACGTCGGGATGTGAATGATCATGTTTATATGATCGCGGTTGGGGTTTTCCTTGGCATGTCAAAATCAAATGTCAGATCATTCTTCGTCGATCAGAACAGATGATCAACAATTTATCGATTTGCCACCAACAGCGTCAAATTAGTTCGTATTTTCCATCCTTTTTGGCCAACTATCACCTACGCATATATATAAAATAATAAATGTTTCAGTTGAATACTTTCAGTGTATCCAACCATGTCAGAAATGAGCTTTACTTTTGAGTCACAAATTCTTATCCCGAAATTAGATACAAAACCGAGTGAACAGCAAATCAGCTCTCCACTGATATTCCAATAAAGCCAAAATGTGATTATTTGTTAAAATCTGATCATAGTGAGTTTTAAAGTTTATAGAGAAACACTCCATTTGAAAGCTGCAGACTCTACTCAAAAATGCTAATCTTTGAAGCGCAATCGAATTAGATCCCCGTCATATCGGTGGGTGTGCTTTTATATCAGTATTGTCTATCCGAAAAGTGGTCATCCTCGGCGGTTACGGTTAACCAAGGACAATTCTTTTATAATGACCAACCTGCTTTAATATTCTAATAACCAACTTTCAAATCACTCTTCGCTATGGACTATTTTGAGTTATATTATGAAGTCATATTATTTGATCTATTCTTTCAGTGAACCTACAAATGTACAGATCGTAATCAAAATAGGCACTGTAGCTGGTGAAAGACTGCCAGCGGTCATTCAGGAGAAGTGAGTAGTGTTTCACGCTGGTGATGAGACACTAGCATATGACGACCAGGCACCTCTGATGATGGCCTCCAGCTACTGCACCACAGAATCGATAAGAGGGTATTGTAATGCGTCACAATTCACGAGCCTTGTCTATATTTTTTATGATTCAGTAACAAAATAATAAAATGTTTACTTGGCCGTGAATAACCGAAGTCCCTGAGTGTTAGTATTTTGATTTTAGTTTTGTTATTGGGAAATGTTTATCAAAAGTAACGGAAGAAGCTTAAAGCTGTAGAAAAATGAAAGATAAATTGAAAACTATAAAAGCAAAAACGGTTTGCAAAATGATACCTCTGTGTGAACGTTATTTCTAACAACAATTGGATATTTTATCTGACACCATCAGCTATGGAATCTATGCCTTGTGTGAATACGCACCAAGTTGCGCAACATGACATATTCCTCGCAGTCTATTGACCAAAACTTTCACTCATTTTGGCCAGTTCATGGACAGATAGCTAGACTATACGTTTTCTTTGATCAACGTATATAATGTCGGTTTTTCTTGATCGGAAACTTTTGCCGCAGTCCAAAATAGAACCGCAAATCAACACTGGTAATTCAATCCGATGTGTGGGTTGATTCAGTCGGACTCTAGTTCTGAGATTTGTCTGGTATTGTCAAGTAAAATAAATTGTATAGCTGAACTGACAGAACTGTGGCAGCACAGACCGTAATTTTGACAGAAAACTGATCAACACAAAAGATGGTCATTATCGAGCGCTACTGGGCGCCAACCGATCGTCTCATATTTCCTGAGTTCGGATCCCGTCACCATCGTCCTAATATCACACGCGTTATTTGGTACCTATCAAAGTCAATGGTAAGTGAAAATTTAAGCAATTCGTATAAATACACTTGGTAAATTGGCAGTTCATGGCAAAATTAATGAATTACCTTTTTTCAATCAATTCTTTGGTCAGTCCATTTTTCTCCTCAACCAACTGCGTCAGTTTTGTTGAACAAGCATCTCCAAATTGATTGGTTGATTGAACGTCTAAATTTCCTTTTCGATTGAGTGTTGCTAACTCGTTTTCTTTTGATTTACACTGTGCCACCCTGTCCTGTAATTCCTTTTGGTTTGAATAACGAAAAGTTTTGAGTTAGGCACCAATTTATTTTCACTAAACCCCGTGCATTTATGAAAGTTACTAACAGTTCATATGATCGATATATTGAAAAATAGAAACCGATCTGTTCAGTTACTTGTGGTATACTAGCCTTCTGCCTCTGTGGTCTCAGGTTCCATCCTCAGTTAAGTCAATGAACTCGCACTACTGGTGAAACCTTATGAGGTCAAAACAGTAGTGTACTTCGTAACTTTCTATACATGACTAAATCGATCATATAAAAAATTACAAAACGTACATTTCTCCCCAACTATAGTTCATTGTATGCACTGTCATGAATTGACCAAATGAAACATAAACAGAATGAAATATACAGGCAGCCTCCTTCTAATCACCATTAACCATTTCACTTGGTTCATCCCCCGCGTGATGCAGTTAGTACAACATGTGCCTAAAGCTGCAAACACGTTAAGTGAACGGGATGAGCCAAAAATGTGTTTTCTTAGAATCTTTTTATTCCTATTTGCTGCAATCAGGACAGGAACTTTTGAACTCCGTTCGGTCAACCGAATGACACAACTCCATATACGGGATTGTGTGACGGACAGGTGGAGGCATGTGGAGCAAATCGTGATCAGATTGTAATAGTGCACGCGCGTATACACTACTGAGTACACTTACTTATTTTGTGGTCGGTTGCTCTCACGTGAGCATAAGTCGGTTTCGTGAATTCATCCATGAAGAGTCTTCAGTAAACGTGGCATGCGCAATATCAAAGTCAAAAGTCAAAGTTTTATTATGGGAATAGCTTACAAGCTGGTGCTTCTCTTGTCCCATAGG